GGGGGGTTTGGGGACACCTGGAGGGGGTTTGGGGACACCTGGGGGGATTTGGGGCACCTGGAGGGGGTTTGGGAACATCTGGGGGGAGATTTGGGGGGTTTGGGGACACCTGGGTGGGGGGGGGGACACCTGGGACACACCTGGGGACACCTGGAGGGGGTTTGGGGTCACTCTGAGGAGTTCATGGTCACTCTGGGGTCACCCTGGAGGTTTTGGGGTCACTCTGGGTGTCCGTCTGTCCCCCCAGTCCGTTTGTCCTGGACGAGTTCAAGCACAGTGGGAACACAGAGGGGACACGGAGGGGTTTGGGGTCACCCTGGAGGTTTTGGGGTCACTCTGAGGAGCTCAGGGTCACTCTGGGGGTTTCAGGGTCCCTTTGGGGTCACTCTGGGGTCACTCTGGGGTCACTCAGTGTCCGTCTGTCCACAGTCCGTTTGTCCTGGACGAGTTCAAGCACAAGTACTCCAACGAGGACACGCTGGGGACAGGGGGACACTGAGGGGCTTGGGGTCACTCTGGGGGGCTCGGGGTCACTCTGGGGTCACCCTGAGGGGTTCAGGGTCACTCTGGGGGGCTCGGGGTCACTCTGGGGTCACTCTGGGGGCTCGGGGTCACTCTGGGGTCACTCTGGGGTCACTCAGTGTCCGTCTGTCCCCAGTCCGTTTGTCCTGGACGAGTTCAAGCGCAAGTACTCCAACGAGGACACGCTGGCGGTGGCGCTGCCGCACTTCTGGGAGCACTTTGACCGCGAGGGTTGGTCCCTGTGGTACTGCCAGTACCGGTACCCCGAGGAGCTGAGCCAGACCTTCATGAGCTGCAACCTCATCACCGGTGGGCCTTCCTCATCCTCATCCTCATCCTCATCATCATCCTCATCATCATCCTCATCCTCTTCATCCTTCATCTCCATCCCCACCCTTCCCATCCCTGTCCTTCCCCACCCTGAGGAGCTGAGCCAGACCTTCATGAGCTGCAACCTCATCACCGGTGCGCCTTCCTCCTCATCCTCATCCTCCTCATCCTCATCCTCATCCTCCTCATCATCCTCATCATCTTCATCCTTATCTTCCTTCATCTCCATCCTCACCATCCCCATCCTTGTCCTTCCCCACCCCAAGGAGCTCCCCCAGACCTTCATGAGCTGCAACCTCATCACCGGTGCGCCTTCCTCCTCCTCCTCATCCTCATCATCATCCTCATCATCATCCTCCTCATCATCCTCATCCTCATCATCATCCTCATCCTCTTCATCCTTCATCTCCATCCCCACCCTTCCCATCCTTGTCCTTCCCCACCCCGAGGAGCTGAGCCAGACCTTCATGAGCTGCAACCTCATCACTGGTGGGCCTTCCTCCTCATCCTCATCATCATCATCCTCATCCTCATCATCATCCTCATCTTCATCCTTATCTTCCTTCATCCTCACCATCCCCATCCCTGTCCTCGTCCTTCCCCACCCTGAGGAGCTCCCCCGACCTTCCTCCTCCTCCTCCTCCTCCTCCTCCTCCTCCTCCCGGCCCTTCTTCCCTCCCTTCCCTTTTCCTGCTCTTCCCATTCCAGAGTTTTCCTCCTTTTCCCTCTTTTCCTTCAATTTTGTCTCCATTTCCCCTTTTTTTCTCTCCATTTCCCCTTTTTTTCTCTCCCTTTTTCCTTTTTTCTCTCCCTTTTCCCCTTTTTTCTCTCAATTTCCCCTTTTTTCTTTCCATTTCCCCTTCTTTTCTCTCCCTTTTCCTTTTTTCTCTCGCTTTCCCTTTTTTCTCTCCCTTTCCCTTTTTTCTCTCCCTTTTCCCTTTTTTTGTCCCTTTTCCTCTTTTCTCTCAGTTTCCCTCTCCTTCCCTCTCTGCCCCATTTCCTCTCCCTTTTCCATCCATTTTTCCTGTTTTTCCCATTTTTCCCTCTCTTGGACATATCCCAGCACCTGCACAAATCCCTTTTTTCTCCTTTTCTCCCACTTTTTCTCCCTTTTTTCTCACTTTTCTCTTTTCTCTCACATTTCTCTCCTTTTCTCTCCTTTTCTTTCCTTTTCTCTCCATTTTTCTCAGTTTT